CCTTGTTGCTTCAAAGTCTGAACTCTGAAAAATGAGCTGGGGGGACCTACTGTGGTTGACCTATGTGGCCTAGCTAGACAAATCCCTTCTTTCCAAATCTAGATGTTGTTTAGATCTTCTCCAGTCTTGAAAGAACAGCTCAACACGTTATCACCCAAAACAGAAGAGGGTGAGAATGATACTAGAGACAAGGGGCTTCTAGCTGGCCAGGAAACAGTCACCTCTAGCAGATGGGAAGGGGAACAAGAGGATGGGGTTGATCTCAGCTCCTAATTTACAATCCTTTTGCTGTTGCATCCCATCATCTTACTTTCTAGGCCCTTTGTATTGTGTTCTGTCCAGTCAAGAGTTGCCTTCTCTTGGTATATGTACATATGGTGGACTGGGTAAACACAGGCTGGGAAAGATTCACATAGGTATAATGTTATTTCTCTATAATAAGATAAACTGGTAACTGTAACGCCTCGCAGGAATAGGCAGAAATCTGTTTAGTGTTACTCTCTGGAGGCCGCCCCTGGGCTTGCTGAAATTACCAGTCTTTCTCTCTGGTGCTTAATATTAATTGTGGCTGCTGCATATCAGCCCTCGTGTGCAGCATACAGCCAGTCTCAATCTGGGGGCTCAACGGAGCTCACTTTGCGTGGGGGTCTGAAGACTGCAGGCTGGGAGGTGCTGCCCAGGGAGGCTTTCCTTTTCCAGCCACGTTATTTGAGGTGCACCGTTCAGCCAGGAGGAGCGTTCTGGAGAGTTATCTTTTCTAATCCAAAATCTGCTTATCTAAAAATAAAGTAATGGAGGTGGTAGAAAAATTAATTCTGAGAGTTTGCATCATGTAAATCAGTTTTTTAATATCGGCAAGAAAAACAGTTTGTGAACTAGTTTAAATGATAAAATCTTAAATGTGTCTAGTATTTAGTATGTTACATGTCTTTGTTACTTGTTATACATTATTGATCATGTAGGAAGCACAGATACTCATAGATGTTGAGTGCTTTTGGAAGAATATTTTATGAAAATGAATTGGGGGAGGAGATCTAAAAAGTTGAAAGTGACATAAAGAAAACTTTTTTTTTTTTTTTTTTTTTTTAGAAATAAGAGACCCCAATTGTCCTGAGTTAAATATCTTCACCCAATTAAAAATGGGTCACCATCCTAACATCTTGAGAAGATGTTTTCCTATACTAAATTCTCACTCCTGTAACCAGCTGAGCACATGTAACTTCACAAGCAGAAGCAGGTTTATTTGGATGTGTAAACTTGTAGTCACACTTGCAGGTCAGTAGTCTTGCAGCCTGAACTCTTTCAGTATTTTAAAAGCCAGACAAAAGACAAAAGTACCCCTCTCCAACAGCTTAACAGACAAAGTTTGGCTAAAGTCGCCACCTTGCTTTGATAATACTGGTTTTCCTCATTAGAATTACTATCATCTCACACAACCTAAATGTACCATGGTATTTAAGTTAAAGCAGTGTGAGTAATTCAGTCAATTAATTAGGTGCTGGTAGCGCTTACCTTCCATTGTAAAGGGATCAAAGGAGAACAATTAATAGCATTTATTTTCTTGTTCTGCTCCATACCTTAGTCATTCAAATAACCTTCTGCCCCAAATGTTAATATAAGTTACTACATTAAGTTATTATGCTTTGGTGAACATTTCTACCCTGTGTTGACATCATGACTGCTGAGACTCAACACGTGCTGCTTTGTAGTAACTGGAAGTGGACAGAAAAATGGCAAAAATGCCAAATGAGTGAGGAACACCCAGCTAGCTCAAAACCTTTGCCCTTCCTCTATGAAGTATCTCCTCGTTTCTTCCACCCCTGCTCTGGTATTTACAGAAAAAAACTTGTGTGAAGAAGCTGAAAGGAAGATTCCACAGATAGACCCAGGCCTCTAACACCTGTGAGTGTCAGTGTGCCTGGCTGAAGGAACTTGACTGGAAAATGACTGTAAGGGGAGCATTAATTCAGACAAGAATTTGAATTGGAGTTTGTGGATGCTTTTGTTTTTTATTTGTGGTCTTTTTCTGTATAACTGTTGTGGTTCAGTATTAGGGCCTTCACAGAAAGAAAGGGGGGTAGAAGAGTAAAAGTAATTTTTTCCTTTGACTTCATTATTACCAAGGTTTCCTTCTGCATCCCTGAGGAATTTATATTAGAGAGGTTTATTCTACTAACAGTCTATTAGCAGGATTGGCCCCTCATTGAAAGCATGATGCAGTGCGTGAGATTAAATAAGGTAAAATTAAAATAAGACAAAGTTCTAAGTAATTAGATTGTGTGTGAGCATTGAGTATTTTCATCTCTGTGCTAAAGGTGTTCACTTCAATCATTAATTGTTTTGTGAACCGAGTCATTAAAAATGGCCCAGGTCTTGCTAACACTGTCAGCTAACAGTAATGCATGTAATGCATACATTTGTAGAAAGACTCCTCAAGTTTGAGATACCAGGTTGTTTTAATAGGCTAGACTTGATTTTATTTGTCTATGGCCACGCTGTGGAGCAAAGGAAATTAAATGATCTCAATGTCATAAATATATTTCTTTTTTTTCTTTAGAGTGACATATTGTTTTCTTCAGCCATTTAATACAATGTAATGCTGTTTAGGACTTTAAAAGACAAGGAGAAGTGAGGCTTTATTAAATTCAGTAAGTCCTTTGCCTAGGATATTGTTCCACTTTAATGTTTTTACTACTTGAAATAAGTGAGACTCATTTTACATTTTCATTCATTCAGGAGTTTGATAAGTGATAGTGCCATACACATCACAAGAAATAAAATCTTTTAGGACACAAGCAATAGTAACAGGGAAATTGCCATACAGCTGGGTTTGGTTGCATCTATGATAGAAGGTTCTCTGCACTGTCCCTTAACTTACTATACAGTAGCTTTTATAGGCATGTGGCTGTGATCAAACCTGTGCTGTCAATACTTGTGTGTTGGTGCACTGACCTCCATTCTGGTGTTAACATTTCCTTCTGCTGAAGGTTTTTGAAAGAACAGAGCTATCTTTCAAATAAAGACCATAACAGATCCACATCTGTGCATGTAAGTGTGAGAGACAGTTGTCTCAAATGATTTACTCCTGTAACTCTGGTCTCCATTCCTGGGAAAAGTAAAGGAGAAAAATGCAAAAAGTGGAAGACAAGGAAGGAAAATGCAGAGTGTGCAGTGACATTTATTATTGAGGGCTGAACTGGCTTTCACACAGACTGCATTTCTCACTGTAGCCTTAGTAAATGCTGAACTGTACTATATTCAGTGTTTCAACAGGCAAAACCCCAAACTTGTACACCAGCCCTTCGTAATGTAACTGAGTCACTGATATATGCACTATACATGGGAAGCTTTTAAACACATGCTATGTTTTTTCCCCAAAATATTGGATGTAGAGGCAAAGCTAGATACAAAGTAGTTGAAAAACTCATCAACATGAGTGAGATACAAAGGAGATATTTAGATCCAGTATTGCAAATTCTTGGCCATACGATTGACGCTGAACTTGGAGCAGTGTACGTGGAGCTTTCACCTGTGGTTAACATTGGGCATATACACAAGCTCTTTCCCCAGCTGGGCTTGCTAGTTCATGTAATAGATCCTTTTTGTAGTCTCCAGTTAATATGTATTGCTGTTGGGATGTAAAGAGAAGAGGATAAATTGACTGCATTCCAGTACAGTGTACCATACAGCCTTGTGTGCACCTATAATCTGCTAGTGCCAAATGGACGTAGTTAGCCAGCCATCTGTGTGGCATTTTTGGTGGTGTTTTAAAAGGAGTAAGTCAGTACAGATTGAATATTGGTACCACAAACTGGATTAGCTAAGGTCATACTCATTCTTTAGTCTAAAGGCATCCATTTGCTAAGGTGGACAGCATTTTATTACATGCCCCATAGTTTCCAAGCAGTTGCCTTCTTCAGTACCAAGCACTGCATAGTATCTTGAAACAGTTATTTTTTCATATTATATTCAGGACATCATCACAGGGCTTCAAGAGGGCAGTAAAAATGTGCATGGTTCATCAGGATGCTTGTTGCTGTTTTCTGGAATTTGAGTTAATGAAAACAAAGTTTGAGAAAACTGCTTGCGGGTTCCCCTCCCCCCCCCCCCAATTACCTCAATCCCAGTTTGCATTATCTTCCAGAAATTGCCGTGTTGGATCCAGCGGGAAATGACTGCAGTATTATTTTGCCATAGCACTAAAGCATTTTGTCTGGAAGTTTAGCTATTTAGATTACATGTCCCTCTTGAAGCCTAATGTTCAAGAGCTCTTCATTAGAAACATCAATAGTATTAAATGGAAACGGATCTTGCATCATGATGTAAAAAATCAGACCAGTAATGCAGTATCCAGTTGGTATAACATTTCCATGAGAATGCATTTCTTGTAATTGTGAATTCCTTAACATAGAGGAGGGTAACTAAAATAACACAATATATTTATTTTACTATTAAGAGCTTTAATGAACTTCAGGAAAATATTTTCAATACAGTGTTGTAAAAGCTCTGTTACCTTACACACATTGACCTCGGTCCTGCAAACAATTACACTTGGGCACAGCCTCGCTGACTTCAAATGGCCAGCTCACCCGTGTGAAGTTAAACGTACATGTATATACTTGTAGAGATCAAGGCCTCGCCTTAGTTTGGAAAATCTGAAATATTTTAACCAAGGGGTAGATTTTGCAAAAACACTCCAGCAAGAAACTTTTCCTTAAAATCAAACAGATAAAGCTTTTTTTCTCTGCCATTGACTGTAGATGCTCCTTCTAGCTGGTACTGAATAAGAAGCTGCCAGATTTGTCCTGGGAACTCGGCAGCACGTTACGGCGTAACCAACCCACAGCGGGTTGGTGAGGCCCATGCCTCGGTCCTTCAGCATGCACAACGGCACTGCTTGCGGTAGGAGCTCTCCTGAAAGGAGGTGCCTCAATTTTGGGCCAGAGCGATAACCGGTCTCGCCACGCGGTCTCTTAATTCCCTGTCGGTTTCTCCCCCAGCTGGCTGTTCCACACAACGATGAGTGGACCCGCTTCGCTCGGACCTTGGTGGAAATCCGCGCCAACCGAGCAGACAGTGAAGAGGAAGGGGCGGTGGAGCTGTCAGCCTAGAGGAAGAGAAGGAGCAGCGCCCGCCATCGCCAGAACAGCAGCTTTCCCCCACTGAGTACGCCGGTGTTCGGTGTCAGAGTCAGTCTTGCTGTGGCTTTTGATGCCAGTGTACGTGCCAGTATTGCTCAAAGCATTCCATATTAATCACGCTGCTTTACACAAGGCTGAAAATATCCAGAGCATTTTCATACTTTATATTTCTGTCTGAAAAGTAAGAAAGAAAAGACAAATCAACCCTTTATGGGTTTAGTTGTTGCCTTTTAACTACTTAGTAGCTGTATTTAATAGCTAGGAACCCCTGGTTAAACTTGTGCTCACATTGCCCTTCTGGCATAGTCCTATTAAATCCATATGAAGCCAGATATGATTATGTGCAGATGTTGTGTGCTTCACTGTATGGGACTGGGCCAAAGACTTTAGATGTGGTGTTTCACATGGTGACTTACATTATGAATGGATGTACTATACGAAAGTTGCTGCTCCTTATTTATTGCAGTGTGCTGCATGGAACATATTTATTTGAAAGCATTAAAATAAACGATCCTAAAGCATGTGCATAATGAGAGAACTGCATTGTCTGTGTGCTGCTGTAGAGGTTACATTAAAGTCCACATAACAATTACAGTACATCAGTTGTGTTTAAGATGTAAGATCTATAAAGGTTGGCTTGAGTGGATGGAATGAGTTTCCTTTTTTTTTTTTTTAAGATGCCTATTATTTCTAGGCACTTTAACTATATTTCAAATACAGTTGGTCACTGATACTTGTCATGCAAGTTAACACTAACAGTCTGACAAAGGGTTGTGGTTCCTGAGTATGACACTAGTATTGCCAATAAAATGTATCAAGCCTGTTCTGTCGCAGTGTGGTTAATCTTTCCTTGCCAGCAGTGCTCAGCTTGTTCATTACCGGTCACTGGCGAGGCACTGGGAAAATGTGACTGCCCTGACTGGCAGAATGCTCATGCAGCTGCTATGTAAATAGATACCTTTGGCTATGGGGACTGCCAGTAATGGCCTTGCATGCATCAGATCCTGCTACACATTTTACATGAGCAGACGCTAATCCATGTCAACTTCTAGATTTGATTTTTTTTTTTTTCCATTCCTAGCTGTGCATGCTTATGTGCACACATGTGCACAACACACGTGCACATGCAGAGCAGTACCATGCTGCCATATGCGCTAAAAGAAAAGGAATAGGAACGACAAGGCCTCCTCAAACTGTCCTGAAAGACAGGTTGGGATAGGGGACAAGGGAATATTCTCCTTTATGACAAGCTCTTGTGGCTTGAGCAAAGCAGTAGGGTTCAGGCTGATGCCATTGAGTGCTGTGACGCAGAGGGGCGTTGATGAATGCTAACCTTGGTGGTGAGGCTGCTAGTTATGTTGGCATCACAACATTATGCTGAGCCACAGCACGGCTCTGACACCTGGGTTTAACACTGGTTCACACTCCCTTGGGCAGGCAGGTGAACCGTTACAGCAAGAAACGCTTGAAAGTCAGCAACAAAGATTTTGTACGTAAGTTTGCTGGGAACTGTGTCTTGTCTTTAGGCAGTCGTGTTGAGGACTATATCATCTAGCGCTCTTCAGAACTATGGTCACACCCGGAACCACTGGGAAGTCTCTGCACTGTGAAAAGCCAGAGCAGGCTAAGAAATTGAATGCTTTGAAGAAGCTGGATTTCCCTTAGTCTCTTGGTGGTTAGAAGTAACTCCCAGTGAGAGTGCATGGGCTTGTCTCTTCATGGTGGGACTTGAAGATATGTCCCAGTGCTTGTGGACACGCAATCTGAAGCTACCTCCCACTGCCCATGGAAGCATCCTGCCCATTGGGCTGTGGTAAGCAGGGTCTTCCCCCGATGAACTAGTTCACACAGCACAGATACATCTGTCGTTGGTCTGGTGGCTCCATGAGGCTGGAGCCGCGCGTTAGGGACCCTTGTGTTCCAGCTGTTCCCCTGGGTGCTTTGGGAGCTGTCCTGAAGAACCAGCACAGCATTCGCAGCACTTTTGTAGCTTAAAGGTGAATGCTAATAAGCAACCAGTGGAGACACCTGTAAAGCAGCAGTTTAGAGCTCATCTATGGGTTGGTTTCTTTCCCCAGTTTTTCCTTGTTTTCCTTTCAAAAACTGTATGTAAGAGTTGTTTATGTATGTGGCAAAGCAGATCCACTGCAAAGCGGGAGGCATGCTTTGACCGTTAGTGGGTCACAAGATTAGGAACATGTGCGCACACAGATACACAGCCAACTAGTGGTGTCACTGGGGAGAAGAGGTGGGTAGCTCACGACCCTTTAGCTCCCTACGGTAAATCCACATCTGAAAGTGTGGGGACACTGTGCGAGAGTATGCGAGTATGCTGCTGTGTAAAGGGAAGGGTGTTTAGTTGATGTCGTCTGCCATTCATAACCAGTGCAGTGGAAGTGGTCAGCAAATTTGCTTCCACTTTTTCTGTATTACCGTTCAGATTTTGGAACCTAAGGCGGGGGGGGGGGGGGGGGGAGCTGCATGTTCACCTTCCAAGCTCTCCCTACTTTATACCATTAATAGCTTGTAAAATGGTTTTAAGAGCAGCCTCAGAAGACCTTCAGCATTTGCTGCTGTGTGCAAATGAATATGAACAAAGTCCCTCTTTTTTTTTATTTTTCTCTCCTCCTTCTTTTGAGTGGGGTTCAGCAGTACCCAGAGGGAACAAGGAAAAGATCCAGATTTCCACAGAAATGACCAGGTTTGTATATACAGAGCAACATGAAAGGGCCATTACAGGCAGCTGAAGCAGATGGAAGAGCACCCCAGAAGAACAAGAGGCATTTACCCCACTTCTGCTGGTCGTGATTGCCATGCGGTGGAGATTCTGATCAGCCCTCGTTGCTGCCTTTCCAGGAATCTCCAACAGTTTTTGTTTGGTTGATTGATTTTCCTGCGGCTAAACAAATAGCTCCACCTTACTGGCTTGCCAAAACAGCCCGTATGACAAGATGTTCCTCAGAATCTGCCTGGTAGGGAAATAAATGCAAAATTACCCTTTATTTTCAACAAAGAGAAAGCATCTTCTCCAGGCTCTTTCACCTACAAACATCCAGAGAACAGAAGGAAGAGCATGAACAGTATGCCCCATGCTTTAGCACTGCCACGACGCTGCCATGCCTTCTCCAGGCATGGAATGAGTTAGAAAACAGCCTGGCGCTACTTTGGGGCCACTGCAAGTGAGCTTTCTGTGAAGGACAAAAACTGCGCGCTCAGAGTGAGCTGGAGAGCGCATCATAACCAGAAGGGTAAGGAAGAGCAAACCCAAGCAGGGAAGAAAGAGGCAAGTGGCACATGAAGATAAGCAATGTGGGCTAAGAAGGGAAAGGCTGAATTGAGGTACGGGATGAAGGAGAGGCCCGGTTGGCTGGAATAAAGTTAATTTTCGTTTTAGTAGCTGGTACAGTGTTATGTTTTGGATTCAGTATGAGAACAATGTTGATAACACACTGAAGTTTTAGTTGTTGCTAAGCAGTGTTTATAATAAGTCAAGGACTTTTCAGCTTCTCATGCTGCCCTGCCTGTGGAGGCTGGGGGTGCACAAGAAACTGGGAGGGGACACAGCCAGGACGGCTGACCCAAACTGGCCAAAGGGGTATTCCATACCATGTGACGTCATGCCCAGTATATAAACTGGGGGGAGTTGGCCAGGGGGCACCACAGCTTGGCGATTGGCGGGGCATCAGTCGGCGGGTTGTGAGCAATTGTATTGTGCATCACTTGTTTTGTATATTCCAATTCTTTTATTATTATTGTTGTCATTTATTGTTATCATTACTACTCTCTTCCTTTCTGTCCTATTAAATTGTGTTTATCTCAACCCACAAGTTTTATTCCCCCGCCCCCCCAATTCTCTCCCCCTTCCACTGTGGTGGGGGGAGTGGGCGAGCGGCTGTGTGGTGCTTAGCTGCCAGCTGGGGTTAAACAGGACAGTGTGGAAGAGACCACCGTCCTGTGCTTGGTGAAGGGAAGACCAGATTCTCCCTTGATTTCAGCGCCAAGGATCAAAGCCACACCAACACGAGTGAGAAGCATAGGAATGGCGTGGCCAGGGACTTGGGATTTGTTCTGAAAGGAGCTGCAGGCATTAGCTAAAAGGGGAAGCAGGGTTACTTCACCTTCGTGACATGTACCCTGTTCAAGAAACCCCCACGGTAACAGAGGAAGAAGACGATGGCCAGGGCACAGTGAAAGAGTAACCTCCAATTTGGCCAGGACACACAAAAATTGAGCACGGGGCTGGAATGCCAGGCCCATCATGTAAATAATAGCACTTACTTAGACCAAGTAGATGCTTGAAAGGTGGAAACGAAATGGGCTGCTTCCTGAGTCTGAGAGCACCACGGACATCCCCATGGAAAGGCCATCACGTCAGAGCAACTGTTTGCTGCTTGAGATTAGGCTCAGCAGGACTGCCTCTCGCCTGTTACTTCAAAGAGAAAAGGCATGGGGAACAAATGGTGCTGGGTCACAATGATTCAGGAGCTGCAGCATTTTCTGCAGGGTACTCAGCAAGCGCTCCATGGAGAATCTTCCAAGATGAAAGGTACTTCCTCCTGGGTCTCAAAACCAACGCCCCCAGCATTTCCTACTTCTGAAAACACAGCACCCCTGACCACGTCCTGGAACACCATGAGCTCTTGCTGCAAAGGACAGCCTGCATCTCTAGTGCTATGGAAACAACTGGCAATAGGTTCTTTCACCCAAGACATACGGGAAAAGCTCTTGAGTTTTAGCAACTTTAGATACAAAGCAAACACAGCAGAAAACTGGAAACCGCTCACAGAGCCAGATGGCATCCCACCTAGAGTGGCCTGGTCCCTACTGACCAGTGACAGACAAAGGAGACTCTGCTATCACCGGGGCAGCATCAGTCCTAAGGAAGGACTCGGTGCCTAATGGTGCTATGGGGGTAGTAGCCCATCCTTAGGAAGCTTACAGGACTGGTTCTCCTTCAAAGACATAAGCAGAGCTACTTCTGTAGTAGCACCACCATGTCTGGTATGCACTGTCTGCACAGCCTGGGGGGTGTGAGTGAGCATGGAGGGACGCCAGGCAGCCCTTTGCAATATAACTACAGCAGCTGGAATGAATCTTGCAAGCAATGGTAGTGCTTCCTGGTGCGATGAGGAATAGTGCAAGGAGCGGTTAAAATGATGAACACACTTCTTAAAATGCCATCGCTGTCTGAAGGGCAACACACACCTTGGTAACAGCCTCGCATTCAGCACTGGGAGAGGCTGCCCATGCTCATAGCCTGAGCTCTCTGCTGGCCACTGGGCAGAAAGCAGAACCACCATATGGCACGTGGCGTTAAAGAAACCACTTCTTCTCAGGCTGCTTCTGTGTTATTTCCTGTGTTTGAAGCTCTCTGGAGACACTTAAAGTACAAATGTCTTGAGATTTCTGTATTCTCAACCATTAAATAACTTACAAATGATCACCATCTCTGGAAGTCGTCTTCTAGCTTATGCAAAAATGGCAAATATTTCAACCGAAAACAGAGTCTGAATTTCACAGTGGTGTTTAAACAGCAAGGTTGGAGGATTCCTGTTCATCCCTCTGCCACGTGTGCATTGGAGAGCTGAGGAGCTCAGCAGTAAGCACTGTGACATGCATGCACATCATGGAGTGTATGGCAGGGACGTTCCCAAGCAGGCTGTCCCCTCCTAAGGAAGATGCAGAGCAGTTTGTCGGGTTTTGTAATTTTAGCAGGTTTAGAAAAACCTGCCCAAGTTATTTTTGAAGCCTGTGGTATGTTTGCTCACAAAAGTGTTCCTGCAAACCATCAACATTAAGTCTGCTTAAACCCAACCCATTCCCCAGGGTCCAGGCAGAAAACCATCCCTCAGCTTCTGCTGCACGGTGAAACACAAATACAGGGTAACTGCTTCAGGGACACCCCCACCCCACTCTCATGCTGATAGGTGACATCATCAATGTTTGATCATTTTTTTCTGGAAGTGCTGTCACAGGGAGTTAGCTGGACTGCAGGAAGTAAGCTAGGTTACATTTTATCCCATTCCTCCCACACTTCATGTAACTCACCCAGAAACCCAAAGAGGACAAACATCTAAACATTGTCCTTGGGGCCTTTTGTTTGTTTGTAAGGCAATCTTACAATTTCTTGGCCTGTAAGCTTTTCAGAGCAGGAATGCATCCTTTTGTGTCTGGAGGAAGCCGACTATGGGCACAGATCTTCCCCAAGATCTCCGGGCAGAACTGTAGTGTGCTTTGAAACGTTTTGAACTGGGTTGCGTGTTAACGAAGCAGTCACTGGCTCTTCAACCCTTCTGCTCCTGCCTCCATCATCTACTGGCCCTGAAAAGAAGGGCAGAAGGACACAACAACCCCCCAGAAGACAGCTAATGGGGAGGGAAGGGCCACCACAGGTGGTGGCAGGGGTGTCAGTCCAGCCTTGCTCATCTGCTGCCAGGGAGAAGATGAAGGCTGTGGCCTTCTGAGATGGACCTGCCGTAGGAGAGCTGCACCTGAGCTTTGTCCCAGGGTGGGGAGCTTCGTCCCTTCATCCCTGGAATAAAGGACAAGTCATAAATATACAGCCAGGCCTGGGAAAGAGAGGGCAGCAGTAGGCAGGGGAATGGGTCCGAGTTCTGATTTGCTTTGTAAAACACAAGCAACGATCTTTATCACACCAGCCAAGGAGTTGTGCAAGTCTTACAATAACCCAGCTCTAATTCCTCTTCTGTTCCCAGCTGCGAGGCCCCGGCTGCGTTGCGGTTTGGCGTTAGGCAGCAGAGAGGGACGTGCTCTGGTCGGTGCAGCCTGGGTGTCCCTCTCTCCATGCTCCACGAGGAAGGAGCAGCTGCCGGCTGAACCCACGCACATGGCCAGGCGCTTCCTCTCCCGCCCCGGGCGAACATGCAGCTCAGTACTCGGGCATTCTCCCTGAGCTGCTGACTTTGCACAGAAACCCTTCACAAGGTACGTCAGGCAAAAGTGAGGGATGAAGTGTAAAACGAGCTCCTAAAGAGCCTAAAGTCTCAAGTGTCAAGCACAGGCAGCTCCCGGTGAGAAAGTTTAACTTTTATGACAAGCCTTAACCAAAAATCCTGACAGTTAATTTTGCAGTAATACAAGGGGCAGGGTTTTTTTCCCCATTGCTGAAACGAAGGAGCTGTCATTTGGAGAGACTCGGATATACAGGGTTGAGAGGGAGCAGCCGGCGGCTGTCAGAGCACAGCGCAGAGTCTCTGCACACTGGTTTAGCCAGACTCCAAGATGAAGCTGCAGGTAGATGTCATCTTCTCCCCTCGCTTTCACATGCGTGAGTACTGCAGATGCTACTCCTGCCATGACTCCATTTCACCAGTAAATTCAAAATGCAAATTAGTCCAAGAGAATAATTTTCACAATGACCCAAACACAAATACAACAATAGAGTGATTTCCATTTCAGTATTTCCATAAGTTATAGTACAACAATGTGATACTGCATGCCTAACCCCTTTGTCTGCAATGATAATGCATCTATGCATTCCCTCAGTTTATAGTCAACATTGAAGGCACGCACCCCAAGAAGACAAGCAAGACCAAATTCTTCCTGGTCTTAAGAGGTATCACAGGAGACATCCAACAGTACCTTCAACTGACTAGGTAGTCAGACTGTTCATAACACATTAACCTCCCTGTAGAAGTAAAGGTCAAAATATCAAAGCTTACTCCAATCCTGGTTTTTGACTGAGAAAAAATTTCTTTTTTTCAGCGACATCTACACCAACAGATGTCTTTTCTACACAGGGGAATTCATATAATTTATTCTCAAGCTGCAGGTGTTTTTATAGCTTACATGTCCAAATATTAACTTTATCTTAACCTAACTTTATAACTGAAGTTGAACAAGACATTTGATGTACTACACTATTTCCGTAACAGAATACCATGTGTGCATCTGTTTGAAAGGTTTATTTCTATCTTCATAAATACATAATTTTCTAAACACTGTGCAAGGCACCAAAAAATTAAGTAAAATCTTTTCTTTTAGAGTATTTTAATCTCTTTTGACTCAATGAAGTAAATAAGAATTTGAAACCACCTATTTGCCAATTACAAGCCAGCAGTTAAGGCAGGTACCATTGATACAGTGCATGAATTTTCTATTGCAGTTATTTAAACAAGCAGCGGTTTACTATAGAAGTGCATATACAAACTGAATTTCAAACACCAGCAACCCAAGATAGGCACCTAGTTATGAAATTTCCTTGTATGTGTAGTAGAATGCCAAAAGTTCTTCCATAAAGTGCAAAGACTATGGACAATAACACTTTCTTTTGAGCATTTTGATACCAGTAACATAATACAACGGCTAAACATTTATAAATGTGGTTTCCATTACAAAAACATGTTCCACATAAAAGCTTCATAATACAATCCAGAAACAGAACTTGTGCGTGTACATATTTAAAAAGTTGAAGCTGTACTGGCATACTTAGGTACCGGGTATATATTTGCTGACCTCTACAGACACGCACTAAGTTTATAACCAATTTACATGTACAGTCAAAATCATTCCGCTTTGAGCACCGTGATATCTACGGAGTTTTTCCATTTGAGTGACGATGTGCAACATCCGCCCTGGTGATCTGCAACTGAGCATTGCCTGTAAGATGATCTGGTTCACAGCTCTCACCCAGCCCTCCCCAATAAACAGAACCTAAAATTAGTGTCTTCCCAACACAAGCGCATGTCAGATGTGGACAAATACATTCATGGTCCCAAACTTAAAACAACTGGTAAGAATTTCACAGTGATCTGGTTAAGGAAGCACAAAGACAAATGATTACATTTAGGATGAAAATTGCCTTAAAACTCAAATGAAGCTAAACTGTTATATGATGAGAAGCTAAAGGAACAAAGTAATAACCAATTAGAAAAGTGGCTCTTTCCCAACTAATAACAAAAAACCTACAGCAATAAACTTAGGGTCCTACTGCTGCAGCAGCCTTTGAGGTAGGTGGCGATGGCTTAAACCGAGGTAGGTAAAGTCCAAACTTGTTTTCAATCCCTGCAAAAGTGGCAACTGCCAATTTATAACCACCTACATGGTCAGGGTTAGGAGCAGGGAGTGTGATCCTAGATTTAGGAACTGGCTCTGATCCAGCTGGTTTTCTGCAAAATAATAAAAATAATAAATTAATTTCCATAGGGTAAAACCAGTATTCACAAAAATCCCCTCCATAAAGTAAGCTGAATGAGACACCTGAGTGTACCTCCTAGCAAGTAACTAAATTAACAATGTAGTGAGAAATACCCTGTTTTAAAACCTTCCAGAACAGTTAGGAGCCTTCATGCTGATTGAGTATGGTCAAATCCAGATAAAATTTGTAGTGTATGAATCAAAACTGAAGCGTCAGGGAGCCCGGGTTTGTAAGTCTCTGCTACGGTGCATAACCAATCCAGGAACCTAGCAGAGTTTAAGTAATTTTTGTGGTGGCTTTCAAACTACTGTCCCCAAAGCTTCGTAAATGGTCTGCAGCTGCTCCTGGGATCACATTAAACAGCAACATACACATGCATCTGTATCATCAACAAAGACAGAAGGCAGAGCTGAAGCTCCAACAAATAGGTTTTGGACTTGGTGACACCTATAGACTCTTTTGGATGTCAAATGCCCTGCCTGATCACGGGCACAGCTCCTCCACCAAACTAATGAGGACTAATGCAGAGTGTATCCTGACCTGGCAGGGATCACATTTCCCCTGCAGTTATATCCCCAGCCCATTATTTAGCCTCTCACTGTCTCTGTTCACACTAACACAGGTCCCCAGCTTGAAACGGTGATATAAAATGTGGTAATGTCTTGCTGTGAAACAGGTACTGGAATATCATCCTAACCTCCACCAGTGTGGTGTGGCTTAAGTAATATTTACAAAGCCTTTGCAACGTGTCCTCCTTAGTAACAAGACCCTGACTGACATATCAAGGAGCACCAAGACCCACACAGAACCAAGTGCAGCTTCAGGGTCCCAGGCAGATTCAGATACCACATACTTACACTCCTCCGAAGTCCACGTAAAACCATCTCTGCAGTAGCTCGTAAGTTACGAGAGTTACACCAAACTGAGGAGAAGATCGAAATACACGAGCTTGAAAGAAAAGAAAAGAGTTCCTAAGTGACAAAAACCACAATTAGAAATCACTCAGTAATCAAAGCTCTTTTACACACCTCCTGCTCCTTTCCACAGAGCCTTCGGACCTTCCTCTCGAAGGATCTTTGCAAAACAGTCTACAACGCCGCTGTAGGTGGTCTGTCCTGCCCGGGCTGCCACCTGTAGCCTTGTTTTGATGACATCCGCAGGGGTCACCAGAGAGGCTGCAGGCATACCTACACAACACGAAATGCATCTGGTGGGTATCACCGACTTGTCACATATGCTACATACCTCATCTACCCAGGGGTAACTGTGCCTTTTGTCCTTCTAACACGAGAATTCAGCCATGTTTGATTTAAGTAGAAGCTGGAAAGGAGAACAAGCAACAAGAGGCAGCCATTGTGGATGTGGCTTCACCCAGAGAGACCTTCTCCTAGAGGAACAACCGTACCACGTGCTTCCTGCCAAGCTGGGAGGCATGGGCTGGATTTTTCAGCACTAACCAGAAACTTGCATAGTTAACAAGCACAAAGTTTTTGGAGGTGAGGTCGATCTTTCCCTTTCCTTTTCATGCCTCTCTCTGGTTCCTGGCATTCTGGTTGCTCACTGTGCTAGAATAATCTGTACACGGCACTCCCCCCATGCAGCAGTGGTACGGAGAACCAGATAATGCCATGCACGCTCAGCAAGGCATGAGAGCTAATGTTTAAAAAAAGGGTCATTCTTCTCATTAGGAATGGCAGACTGCTCAGCTGCAAAGCCACAGCTGACATTCTCAGCAGAACACTTGGAGGAAGATTTAAATTTACCCTAGCAGATAATCAGCTGAAAGCAAAAAATACCAAATTACCAATGGGTGGTATTTCTAAAATCATTTCTATCCAAACTGGGGCTGCCCATGTTAAAAATTTAAAAAAAAAAAAAAAAAAAAGAAGCCCCAAAAAAGCACCGAGACTGTACCCAGAAGACACTGTCTCTTATGGTTTTATTACTTTTCCATTCTGCATCTGTTCCAAACCAACTTGGTCAGATGTAGATGCATAAGTCTCCTTTGCTTTTTTTTTTAGGCTTAATAATTCTGTAACAACTTTTGTCCAAACCAGCATGGTCTGGCTTCAAGCACCACAGCACCCTTCCTGCAGACTGCTCTGAGAGATATAAGCGTGTGCGTATCACCAAAATAAGAACTCCTCCTCCTCTCTTGGACCCCCCAAAATAACACACATGCTGAACTTGCACAGTGGTCAGTCTGGCAGGCAAGTACTAAAACCCGGTAAAGATTTCTGAACTCCAGAAATGTTGAAATTCCTCTTTGCTTAGCCTTACCCACACCAGGATATTGGTTGAGTCTTCAATTTAAAGCCGGACATTTGTCCTTCAAAAGCCAACCAGTGTTTTCAAGGAAAACCAAAGGACATACTTAGAAACAATTCTGCTTACTACCCATTGACTTCCATCTCCTTATTCCTCATTCCTTATTACTGAGGATATTTTGCAGTTAAAGATGTTTTAGTCCTGTTTTTAGGAGCTATGTGTACAGGACAAAAGACTTTACAGGCAAAAATTTACAGGTCGCTGCTGTGAGGAGCTTACAATCAAAATGAGACAAATGACACAGCAGGAGCTGACAATAAAAAAGAGGAGCAGAAGGAAGTCAGTGGAGGCAAATAAGCAGATGGAGCAAATTAAGGAGAGATCCTGTAGCTGATATTGGAATCATCTCCTCAGAAAATGCTGTGGCACAACAGGTTGAGGCATCTGGTGAACAGTGAAAACCAGAAGCAGATCAAGCTAGATGACATGCATGTTGCACGTGTCCCTAACAAAACGAAATGGAAGAAAATATACCCAGCACAAGCAACGCCCACTGGCAAAGGATGCAGGTGTGCAGCTGAGCACGGCCAGCTTGAACATGCCAGCACCACGGGCTATGGAAAGGCGGAGTCTCCCACATCCAGCTGGAGCTCATGCACATGTCTGAAGTCTGATGACCAGGCGAGATCCCCAGCCAGAGCAGAGACATCAGCCCAGAGACCAAGCCAGCATTTCAGAGGTGGCGGGGCTTTTGTTTTGTCTTCTCCTTGACTTTCTCATGGCAAACCAGAGCGGACACATATGCCCCCACCATGCTTTACTTATACCAAATAAAAGAAATGCCTTGTTTTTGTAAACAGTACGATGAGTGTTGCATCTTTAACGCTGTGATTAGCTCATGAGAGTTAACCTAGGATGGGATTCACAGGAAGCACTGGATAAAATTCACATTATAGCTCGTTTGGTAAGCCATATCAGCAACAATAAAGACTGCTTCTGTGCCTGAACTTCAAAGGGACGGTTATCTCAGTCTGCAATCACCTGACAATGGCTAGAAAGAGAAAAATAGGAAAATCTAAGAAATGACTTGGCTTAAAAATGCCAGCTTATGTTTCAAGTCTGTAAATACGATCTAAAGTTCAAAAATTGTTTTGTTCCATTAAAATGGGTGAGAAATAAGCTGGCTGTAAGCTTCTGTTGGGGGGCTTGGAGGCTGGCTCTGGTTTGGGGTGGGGGAGGGGAGAGGACAAGGGTGTTTTAAGCACCAGTCATTTGAACACAGCTGGTTTTCCTAGTGCCAGGTCAATTCCTTTGGACTAGAAGCTACTGAATACAGAGCTATATGCTTCAACAAGACAAACTACTTGATCTTAGCTATATCCTATGCCCAGACACTGGCTATAAAAGATCCCTGCTCCTCAAGAGACGCAGCCTCATGTATAATCCTGACCAAGAACAGTTTCCCCAGGGAGAAGAAAGCTTAAAATGAGAAAACATAGCTAAACCACCTATCTGTAATGGATTCATGCCACTCCATCATTTTTCTCACCTGACAGGTCACAGCAGCCTGTCAGGGGCCACGTTGGAGGAAGAACTTGGCTGCACCTCAGAGAAACCAAGCAGCCTCCAATGAACACGATGGAAATACCTGCTGATGTGAGCCCTCCTGCTTGCTACACACTCCTCCAAAGGTCCTGTTGCACAAATTTCCAAGCCCATTTGTTTCCTGAAGGGAAGTGGATGTAGCAGGACTCTCAAGCTGCCCTCTCCAGGAGGCAGCTACCAAAAGGTGGTCCCCTTTGGGCAGAGAAGCTGGGTGCTGTGCCAGGGACCAGCTACGCAGCAGACGCAAGGGCAAGCTGAGGCTACAAAACGTGTCTCTGTCTTTTCCCTTAGGCTCTGGCGTACTCAAGTTAAACCCATCTGTGACAAGTTAAGCCTGATTTGGCTCTCCTTTCCATGTTACAGACTGAAACGAGCAAGTGCTCAAGATCACAGTCAGCACCTCTATCGTATCTGGGTACGCTAGGAATCAGCAACCTGTGGCACAGCCGAAATGTTTTCAAATTTTTCTGTTTTGTTTAATATAAGAAAACCGATAAGGGTAAAATCCTCATGAAACCAAGTAACTGCATGGGATACTGTGGGTAGCAAGTAACTCTCATCATTTTGTCACATTTTATGTCAATGTGTTTGGACAGCTGTACTGCTAGCATGGCTTTTGGACTCCATACCAAAACTCAAGATTCCTTTGATCGTAAAGAATTTCATGAATGCCATGATTTTATTTATAAATCATTTCAACAAAACTTTACCTGTCAGTCAGACACAGCCAAAACCAGCACAGTAGCTTCACAACGAATGATGATATATGTTAACAAAACATCAGCACTTAAATCTTCCCCTTTCTTTTGCCTCCTGAAATTCTGATTATACCAGGAACTTAAAGTATCTTTATTTTTAACGTCAACTCACTCTACAGCATGGTAGCGTTCTGTTATTTGGGCGTAAGATTGTAAAATACACTATAGTTGCATATAGTTCTTCTGAGCTTTTCAAAGTTCTCGCTGCTGTAACTATTGTGCTGCAGGTGCAATACAGTACCATGGAAAAAGAAATTTGGGCACTTACCAGCTATTGATCCAGCCAAGAGCAGATTTCCAGGGCTGACCCTCCCATCCTCATTTGCAAATGAAGCTTTCAAGTGAGCATAACAGGGGAAGTAAATGGCAGAGAAGGGGATGTCACGCAAAAAACATGCCTTAGCACCCTGTGTTGAAAAAGAGAACAAGTTTTGAGAATGAGCAAATTTAACATGATGAACTATGAACATCAGAGAGCAGAGCAACATTTTACTTTTTCGTTTTGTTGCAAAGGGCTTATAGAAAAAGCCATTTCTCCTCTCAAAAATTTGAGATGATACACATGTACTTCACCCTGCTGAGGAGTCTCTGTGTATTGTTTCTTGGTTCAGTAATTTCTGTCATTGTATTTATCTTGTCTACTTGTTGTTCCTCACTCCCTAGTACTGTAGTTATTTGCTGGTAATAGAGAAAATGTGATGTGTTGGAGTAAACTCTGATAACACCTTTGCAGAAATGTAAATAGTTGACATTGTAGCCATGCACCTGCAGTGGGAATTTAGGATGTGTCTGCAGAAGATTGAGCCACAGGACAGGTCTGTCCCCTCTCATTCCCACTTACAATAAATACTTCAGGGAAAATAGTGCCCATTCCATACATCTATGCAGACATTGCAACTGATAATCCAACATAAATCGAGGGAAAGCGGGAAAGAAAGAGAGTAGGGCCATAACACTAACTCTTTTGCAGAACAGTAGCAGGATGATTTACTTGTGATTTTTGAAGTACAGGTGATCTGGGACACAGTTTGTTTCAAGTAAGTTTCAGCTCTTACTGCTAAATTTGCCTTGCTATCAATTTTGTAAGTGGTACAAACAGCCAACGAAGTTACCAGCAATACAGCCAGCTTCAAACCTAAGAGGATGGCAAACAGGCAAGGAAAGTTTTAGGGTAGCAGCAGGCAATCAACAGTTTTTCAAGCAGGGGGGAAAGCAAAAAAGCCACTAGGGGAGGCAACCAAAATAAAATATCAAATAATATCCATGTTCCAAAAGCAAAAGGGATTTGCAATCTGCCTTTCCTCAATATGGAGATCCAGAGGACACCAGAGCCTGAACACTCCAGGGCTGAGACCAGCAGGAAGGTACAAACTGGAGGTGGCTTTGGAAAATGGGCAAAACCTTCCAAGCTTGAGAAAGAAATGGTTTGCGGATGAGCGTAAGCCTCTTCTCTTTGAAGCGAGGGTGGAGTTGTGGTGAAACTGCTTGAGGTTCATCCACGAGCCCTCACGGGGTGCCCTTGTTACTGTACTTCTCTTGTGTACAGGGCTACCAGGGCATGGCTCAGTGCCAGACATTTCACAGGGGACATGCTAATATCCACAGAATTTAATTAAATCTAATGATACGCCTAGACAGATCTGTAAGCTTAGCTTGTACTATAATAGCAGTTAAAATACAGTGCTTGGATATCCAAGTTGGATGCTGGTTATCAAGCAAAGACGCAAGAGCTGCAAGGTGTCAGAAAAACTGAAGTCACCTTTCAGCAAGGCAAGGCAGGGGTGGGCGAGCAGGATGTGTGACTGGAAAACTACGTCCTGGGAACCAGTTCACAGATGCTAATAAGTGCAGTTTGCAGTCAGAGGATGCCTCTGAGAAAATAAAGATTTATCTAAAAACAGACATCAGATCTTCTAGTCAGACTTTCTGTGTGTCATAGACTCAGTTACCGAGCACGGTGAGCACAATCACACTCTGCTCCAACCCCAGCTGCTTTCCACCACACTTTCTCAGCTTATTTCTTGACATTTTCAGACTGAGGACTGCTTCCCCTGATGGTCCATTCGGAGGTTAATGACTCCTGCTGTTAAGACCCTCTGCCTTGCTGCTCAGCTGGATTTGTCTGATTTATGCTGCCAGTTGCTGGTTCTCGTTATGCCTTTCTAGATACACTAAGGAAAATGCCATAAAGGAACCTGAAGCGCTGCTGTTGCAGCCACTCTGCTGTTCACCCACGCTGAATGGGGTTATCAGCCACAGAACAAAGCGATGCTGTGCTGGATTCTCCTCTCAAAATTACCTGCAAAGCCCATACACTTTACTTTGAGGGCACAGAGAAGGTGAATCTTCTGCATTCACCAGAGACACAAGAATTCTGGTCTGTCATGCACAACAGAAGCCCGTTTTACAGTTCACCTTTAATCTTCACATAAAAAGAAAAGACTGTGGTTTTACCAAATTCTGTACGGAAAATCAATTTTTTAATGATCAAATGTCTGCACTGTATTTACCTCACAGAAAAATTATGAAACTCACTAACAGAACATTCACAGACAGACACGGTTTCTTCAAAGATTTATTTTTAGAGCATGCTTTTCCTCAGAGCAAATCTCCTTGCTGCCTTTGCCCTCAGGGCACATTACTTTTATTTTCTTTGCAATGCTGTCATTAAACACTGCACACATTTTTTCCTCCACATTTTTTTCATACTCTGAAATATCTTGACATAGTTAAAGGAACTTACGGAAATCAATAAAGTCTAAATGTGAGCAACTCTTAACTCAACCTGAGCTGCTAATATTCCTCTCCCTTCATTAAAAGGCTCTTTTTCATGGGGCAGAAATGGCATATTGTTAATATCATTAATAATACACATTCAGGTACACAGAGAGCGAGGGATGTCCGTCAACTTAGTTGGCTCAGTGTAAACAAAACCTGGATCAAAACTTGGATCCACTTTAATAATAACCCAGCTTGGCTCCAGTCCAGCATCGCTACAGTCTAAAGTTTCCCCCCATCGTTCCGTTTAAAGTCTGGGAAAGTATGTTTAAAAGCAGGCCTCATTTAACTTCAAGTTAATCATCCGCAACCAGCCTAGGCCAATTAGGAAGGCTTAGGGAGATTGGCCACAGTATCTTGAAAAGCAAAAGAAACATTTATTTTACTTCTCGCACCTTTTTGATGTGGACAACGTGCTGAAAGCCAAAAGGAGTTTTAATCAATCCCCAGAAAGCTGTAAGGATCATCCGCCCGAGTTTATTCTGGCAGCCAAGGTGCAGATCTGCCAGGCATGAAATTGTTGGGAGATCCTACACACCATGACATGCGCCTGCCTCACACAACAGCCAGCTGGCTCCCATCTTCAATCTCTTTAATAACCTTAAAGCTCTTAATCTGGGATAGCATCTCACTGAATAAACCAATGGAGAGAAAAAAACCCTGATTGTCAAAGATTCGGATAAATAAGCCCAAGTCAGCGCTGGGGCAGGTTCTTTAGCATGCTAATTCCTGCTTATACCAGCTCTACCTGCAAATAAGGCTCTAAACAAACTATTTCTACTACAAGGGGAGGGTAATTATACTGACAAAGGCACCTCTGTGTCGGGTTGGGCAGAAGGAGCCGGCAGGTCTGGGAGACGCAGGCTTAACCTAGTCTCCTGCAGTGAATGCACATTGTCTAGTGCAGGGGGAAAAATGCCAGACTGGGGGGACCTAGCAGCATTCAAGACAACAGTGGTGCACCTTGTCTGAGAGGGTTATTTAATGCTTCTGGCACCTGTACTTACAGCCACCCCCTCTTTTTCTCCTTTACAGGTTTAGAATTTATTTGGCATGTATAATTGTTATTTTGATCCTATAGCTACAAACAATAGGCAGCATGTCATTTCTTGATCATTTTGCATTCTTCTTGGGTTTTACTACAGACTTAACCCTTTGGAATCGGAGCCCTAACAGCACCTAGCAGGTTTCATAACAGTCAGTCAAATATTACTGGCATTTGCTTTCAAGGGCTGTAATTTTTTCTACTGTAAAATGACATTGCCTTAAAAGCTGCTATACGTTTTTACTCACATCTACTTATACCAACCAAAATAGGAAACTGATTTAGCACATCGGGTTAGAGGAATAAAGCGCTGATTTCAAATGCTGTGCCAGCCATTCAGATTCAGTTTGCAGACAAAAATTATAGCACTTTGGAAGGGCTTTTTTTTTTTGGTTATTTTCAAAGAAAATTTCTGAAGAGCAGGTTCTCACGTATGAGAACACAGTCACAAATAGGCACGGTGGATGCAAATTAAGGTAACTCAAAACTTTTACTACTCTGTTTTGTATGTTTATCATCCTGCTGTAAACTCAAAACTTCAAGCAGTGAAATACCTCAGCTGTTATCAAAGCAACCAGGTGGGAGCTTGGTACACATCCTGTCACCTGAGATTACACTTTCCAGGTCAACACACCAGAAGCCCATTTATGAAGTTGTCAAAAAAAAGTGAAGAGACTTTTGAAAGCTTTTCTGACTAGTTTTGGAAATGTAAACTCTGTTGGCGGTATCAGCCAAAGCACAAATCTGAGCTAAATACCTTCGAGTAATTGTAATCATAAACATTACCACAACCAAAGTACCCTTTCCTTGAAGAATCATTTATTACCGTATTATTTGCCATCTTCTCGGGATAACAGAATAACTTTCTCGTGCAAAATTATGGAGTGGCATTGTCTTTTATGCTGTAAAACACTATTCAGAATGATTATTTATAAAAAGGGTAATATTTTATTAAACATTTTATGGCAGATATTACATCGATGTAAGTTTCTATAATGTAGAAAATAAGTAGGTGTACTTACAATGTGTATTTACATGAGCACTTGAAGTCTTTTGAAACCAAGAAAATATAAATTCAACTGACTTTAATGGGACTTTATGCTTATTACTGTATAAGACAGGCAGAAGATGGAAAATGTATTAGCTAATCTTGTATGATTACTTCAATATTCAACTGTGACCAGAAATTAAATAAAATCTATTAAAAATATTGAAAACCAGAAATGTATCCTTTCCCATTTCTGCCAACACAAATGACATATTGTGTTAGGTTACATGATATTTTTTCTGACTGGGATATGTTGTCTCTATATTTTTAAGAATAGCTGTCATCTACAGAACATCTGTAGATAAAGAAGAATTTACTATCGTAAGCTTCCATGCCCTGGTGCTTTCACAGCAACAATTACTGGCAGAAGGAAGACAAACAGAGGATACAAATTCATAGAATGATAGAATTGTTTAGGTTGGAAAAGACCTTTAAGATCATCCAGTCCAACCACTAACCTAGCACTGCCAAGCCCACCACTAAACCATGTCCCCAAGCATCACATCTACAAGACTTTTAAATACCTCCAAGGATGG